ATCACACATTCAGCAAAAGACCAGAGAACTGTAATTCGAAAGATTAATAGATGTGTTTCCCTTTTTATGGTTAATAAAGATTATTGCTAACAATTATTTTAAATGTTTCTATCAACTAGGAATGGTTGTTCTGGTTTAAAACCTATTTCAAAAAAGATAAAGGAATTATAGGGTTATAATTTGGGGGTAATAGTTATCATTGTTTTCCCCAGTGTACTTTTTAACTGTTCCTACACAAGGCAATGTTTTAGAGAGACAGAGAGAAGTTAAAGAATTTGGTCAAGATTGTGATGAGCTGGTCATTAGAATCAGGACCAGAATCCAAGCTCCTGATATCAGACTTAGCTTAGATTATAAAGAGAATAAATTTTCCTATTTGAGCTTGGTTGTACTTGAAGAAGAATTATGACCATCAAACCAGTTCTTCTCTCCTCTAGTTCCTTTCAAGACCTTGTTGGTGACCCACCTACTCCAAGGAGATATTCCTGATTAATTTGCCATCCTTCTAAACACTTCCTTACACATCAGTACTCCTGAACTGACTTCAGTTTTTTACTTGTTTCTTTGTTATTTCCTGAGAATGAGTGACCTGAAATATCCTGAAGGCAAAAGACACTTCTATTTCTTACTGTGCTCCCTTGACCATTCCCCTCTCCTACCCTTCTCCGTCTGCTTCCTGCTCTCTGCCTCCCGTCCCCTCCCACACACAAGTGAAGGTCCAGTACAGGAAGACCTCAGCCTCCTGGCATCAGAATTCCTGGTTTACAATACTCACTATGTAACCAGATACACCCCTGCTAATGGAGCAGGTCTGAGGAAATACTGACCTGGGCAAATAAATGCTTCTGATTTAAATGTAAATTCAGACTTTAAAAAAAAAACAAACAAAAACCTCTGGTGATAGTCAGAATTTATAACATTGTTAAAACAGACCAGCTTTCTGTATGACATAATTATACTCTAAGAGCCCTGAAAAAAGAGGCCAGGTGAGAAACAAGAGAAACTTCCTTAGGGAGGGGATATTCAGAACTTTCTATTGAGAATGTTTCCCCCTGAAAGCTCAAACATACTACCCCTGGTACTTTCCGATTACTATCTGTGAACTTCTAAATGACACAGATATTTATGTAGCTCTTTCCCATTTTAAAAGGTTACCACACCCATGGTTCCACTTGATCCTCACGAATACCTTGCCAGAGAGGAAGGACAGATTTCATTATCCTCATTTTATGAAGAGAAAACCAAATCTATGGAGTCCATAGAAATCAGAGGAGCCAGGATCTACCCACAGGTAAATATTCACTGAATTGAAAACCTTGCCAGAGAGGAAGGACAGATTTCATTATCCTCATTTTATGAAGAGAAAACCAAATCTCTGGAGTCCATAGAAATCAGAGGAGCCAGGATCTACCCACAGGTAAATATTCACTGAATTGAAAAAATATAGAAATATATGAATATTTTAAGATAAACGGTGGTGTCTGCTCTTAAGATCATAATCTAGTTGGGGAGAAATGTTCAAAACAAAAATAATTGAAATAACAATACAAGGATTAAATAAGGCAAGACCAGACACAAGATGGTAAATACATCCTTCATTGTGAAATGAGGCAAGAAAATGCTGGGATTTTTAATTGTACTTAAATAACTATCATCCCATGATTGAACTGAAATTCCCAAGTGTCCTCCACCCACGCCCCCTATTCCAAGTTCCTGCCGAATATTCTGGGTTTTACTTGGATTCCTTATGGCGTCTATAAAAAGTCTTCAGCTTTATATCTTAGCCATGGCGATATCTGGGCTTCTCACATGCTCTTCAGTCCCATATTTGCAGTGAAACTGTAGACCAAAAAAATAAGTAAAATGTTTTAAAAAGCCACAAGAAATATGAAAAAGGGGATGGGGTAAATCTTTCTTCAGTGTTCCAGAAAAGACAACCCTCACCTTCTGGGGAGTGGATTTTAGAATATGATGTAACAACTAACAAATCACACATGAAGAGAGATGTAAACGAGGAGGGAGTTTCTGGAAAGAATACCAATCAGGCCAGAGGAGAGAATGAGTGAGAAGAGTCATGAAGTAATTGGAACATGAACTTTGCGGGGTTTGTTGACTAACTGGATGTGGGGACTTTGTGGAAGACTTCTGGATTTCTTTCACTTAACCAGTTGGATGATAGAGCTATTTGCTGAGAATGGGAATGCTGGGACAGCAGCTGGGAAGAATACTGTGCGTTTAGTTTTGGACACTTGAATTAGAGGTATCTATGAGGAGACCAAATTGAAAAGTCAAGCAAGCAGTTGAATATGTGGGCCTAGAGGACAGAGAAGGGCTTTGGGGATGAGTATTTGGGTGTCTTTGATAGGAAGTTGATAATGGAAGCCATTTGACTTCTGTGGGATCACCTGAAAAGAAAATGTAAAATAAGAAGATAGGAGGGCCCAGGAAAGAGTACCCGGGAGCCTCAGTATTTAAATATTGGGCAGAGGACAAGAGGAAGGAGCCAGTTAGGAAGCCTGAGAAGAAGCAGCCAGAAAGGAGGACACCAAAGAGAATGTGGTGGTGTGGGAGTCAGGGGAGAAGAGTGTTGGAAGAAATAAATGGCTGACTATGAGAGACTGGCAGTGCTGTGGGTGAGGGGCAGGTTTAAATAGGTGGCCAGGGAAGACCTCACAGAAGTGACATTTGAGAAAAGATTTGAAAGAGGTGAGGGGGTGAGTGATGGAGATATATGGAAGAGCTTTAAGAGCAGAAAGGATAGCTAGTGTGAAGGCCCTGAGGTGGCCTCAAGGAACACCAATGAGGGCGGTGTGGCTGAAACAGAGTATGTGAAGGGGAGACCAAGTCAGAGAGGCATGCAGGCCTGCTGGTGTTGGCCTCTGTAGATTATTCTAAGGACTTTGGATTTTTATTCCAAGTTAATTGGGGAGCCACTGTGCAGTTTCGAGATGGGAAATCCCAGGATCCCTGTGGCTGTTATATGTGGAAACTTGGCTACTGGGTAGGTCAAGGAAGAGCAGAGAGACATGGTTGCCCAGGTGAAGGATGAAGGTGGCTGCGGAAATGCTGAAGTGCTGGATCCTACACACAGTTTGAAGGTATAGTCAACAGGACTTCCAGACAGACTGGGTACAGGATGCGTGGGAGAGAAGTAGGAGGATGGCTCTTGGAGTTTTGGTCTGAGTAAATGAAGTGGAATTGCCATTAATTCTAATGGGAAAGACAGATGGGTGGAATAGATTTGGGGATGGAGGAAGATTACCAACTTGTTTGTGGACCTATTGTTATATTTGACTGCAGTAGCAATATAAGTTTTGCTTTCTTTTAAGACTGTTTCTAATATTATGATGACATCTTTCCAAATAAAAAAATTATCTCAAGACTCCTGACACAGCAATCATTACATTCCTAGGACTGGCTATTCATGGCTAGTGATCTGGAAAAATCAGATAGATATGCGAGAAGATGGGAGCCTAGGTTCCAGTTTTCAAAAAGGAGGAAATAACATACTGCAAATTCATCCACAGTCCTGGCAAGATTGTAGAACACGTCATTAAAAGGATGGCATATGAATTCCAAACATTAGTACTGGCTCCCCTTGGATTCGGCTTGAAGTCAAGAGCAAGTCAGACCAATATATTTTTAAAAAGTAACCGGAACAATTTTGGAACTTGGAAGTCCAGTATTTGGAGTGGAAGGTTTCTTTTGGCAGGCGATAGTGGCAGTATTGTGTAGTGTCACACACGTGGTCTCTGACCCCAACTGGAAGCTTCGCGTTCAGCCTCTAACACTCTCTAGCCACGTAATTTCGGGCAGACCTTTCTGTCGCTCAGGCGACAGTAACCGTGGTCCCGACCTGTGAGTACTGAGTTAATAGTTGTAAAGCGCTCAGCACAATGCGTGTACAGCGAAGGGCTTATGCCGGGAGGACCCTTTTTTATGAGTACCCCTACCCTTTTATTTCTCTTTTGAGACCTGAGAAACGTCCTGCATCATCGAGATATGCAGCGAGAAAACGTTAAGAGATGAACAAAATAAAACAATTTCCTCTAACACAACAACAGGTAAACATGGGCCTTGGTGCTTTGCGAATTGTTTCTAACCTGGAGAACCGGCATCCGGAAAGCCCAGCGGCTCCGCCTTCCTGCAAGCGAGCCGTTGCTAGGCGACCTTTGGACACCGGAAGAGGGCGAGGCTGCCACGCTCAGGCTCCGCTCCCACTCCGCCGCTGTGCCCCGCCCCTCTCCCTTCCCACCAAGTCCCGTCTGACCTGGCAGGCGAGCGTGAAAGACCGCGACATACTGGGGCGCGGAGACGCATGCGCTCTTATTCCCGCGCGGCTCGAAGCGACGCGCGCTCCCACGCTCGGCTATAGTTTCTGCTCCGCCCCTTCTCGTCCCGTCGCTACTTTGAGCCCCCAGCTCCGTTCTCACCCAGACCTGGTTCTGCCCAGACCTCGTCTTCAGTCCAATGAACAGTGCCTGGGGAAGAACCTCAAGCCCTGCAGACCCACCGCCCGTGCTCCCGTGGTGGGGGGTGGCGATGGGCGGGGATCTGGGGAGGCGCTGGGTGCCGTGGGCCCACTTCCGGAGGACGGGCGGAAGTGGCTGCGGTGGATGGGGGGGGAGGAGAGCGGGGGGAAAAGAGAGCGAGGGGAGGACCGAGCCACCGGGGAGCCTGGGGGTGGGGCCTGGGTCAGCAGTAGGGACCGGGCCTAGACCCTGGACTGAGGCACGGGACGGGCCGCGGCTCCCGACCGAGTGGGGGCGGGCGGGGT